TCAATGACCCGTGCCATGATTTGCAAAATGGTTGATTGGTGTCATGAGAAACATTTTTTATGGTTACTCATGTATCAAGTGCATACGGTTAGCTTCAAGTGTTACCATATCATTATGTATCTAGTTTTAAATGGATACAATTTCAAATTATAAATCTACGTTTAAGTAAAGTTGCGAATTTCGTGATTTTTAGCAAAGTGTGAGTTATATATATTTATAAAAACGTGTTTAAAAGCATCTATGTCAAACGCATGTGATTATGAAGCACTTTGAAATCGTGATCATACAAGGCGTTGTCAAAACAATGTACACACCCTGTGAAATCAATGCCACACATTCAAAGCAAATAAGTGTTCACTTGAAATTATAATTCATCCAGTGGGGTATTCAAAATAGTTAATATCCTGTGGCATTGTGTATTTCATCCTGTGGGTGGGTAAGTGAGTTTGCTTTTGCACCGCTTTTAGCAATGTTCCAGCAATATCACGGTGGGGCACACCAGAAATGGGCTTCACACATTGGACCCAAGTGGGCAATCGAACCCGGGTTTTCGGTGTAAAGAGCTAACGCTTTAACCACTAGGCTACCCCACCGCCCCTCTTGTGGGAGTGTAAGAGTAAGAGTACCTGCTTCAAAATCATTCTCTGAAAGCATGAATGAGATCTTTTAATGTTCTTTTTATATGAATTCGCTTTTCTCTGGAAATCGAGCGAACATTTGTTTTCTAAAACCAGAGTAACAATTATTTTTTTGCATCTTTAAACACACCACCACCCGCATAACTCAACCCCACTCCATAACCACTATCAAATAGTCAGTCACACAGCTGAGCATGTAACGTATATTAATAAGAACAAATACTTCAAATTCTACATACAATTCAATTGAAAATGAACATATGTCCATTCTTATTTGTTAAAACCGTTGTCATAACAGCAATAATCTTGTCTTCCTTCCAAGGAACAACAAAACGGAGAATTATCACATGGGTTTCAAATTCTGACAGTTTTCATCTGAAGAATATGGTCAGACTGTTTTATGTCACGACAAGCCACACATGATGAATAAACATGAAATTCTGAATCAATGCAACCACTGTAAATAAATAAAGCATATTGAACCGATACAACAAATACAATTATCATACCTGGACAATCTGGTATTACCCTGGGTCCGTTTCTCCATCACTGTATTATCACATTGCTCAGTATTGACAGTAAGGTGCTGTCATAAATTTGTATAATTTCAAACTAGTTATTCCACAGTTATAAATTCAAATAAATGTTAAAAAAGGAAAATACAATTTCATATTCTTGTAAGAAAAGGGTGATTGAGGTTTTTCGTTAAATTGATACTTTTATTCCGGAAAATTATGAAAGAATTCTCGAGGGACAACAACTGACGATGGACAAGCTCTATGCCTCAAAGAGTGTGCATAGGGCCAATGAACTCGTTGACACAAACGTATCTGTTTTGAAGCACTGTCTGAACGAACATTATTCTCAAAGTAAATTCTAAATGGTTGTCGATCTCTTTGCTAGTTTCATGCGATGGATGCCTTTTGTCCACGCCTTATTTACAACACAACTACACCATGCATTAAGCCGCAACTCAGCCTGTACAACAAGCAGATATTGTTTATATTCTTCAAGCAATAACAATGTCGTGTAATTGTAATGGCAAAATTCACTGAACAGTTATTTATTATGCTGATGCCCTTAAAATCAGTCAAAATGATATTTTGTCATCATGTAACAATAACATATGTTTGTGGTGTTACATGTGTCTAAACATCAGTCTAATTAGATCCACCAGTGTTGTCTATTCAGGCTGATATAAGTCTAGCAACCATTACACTTTCAAAAATGCGCATTGCACAATCTATTTTGCCCAATAATATATGACGTGATGCAAATATTTTATTAACTATAAGCTCTCTAGTACTATTATATACTTGATGACGGCACATCTTATATGTATATACGTAAAGGTTAACTACATAAATTGACAAGAAATAAAACCTTTTTCTTTTGCATCTGCTTTTTGTGTTGAAACTGTGGTTTACTTTGACAATATATATTTGCTTTATTAACGAGTGAAAGCGGTTTTACATATTGACTTTTTGAACAGCATTTCAGTTCTAGACACATTTTGTATTGGTTACAACACGAATATTTGTTTTCTAGGTAACATGTCTTGAAACGCAATCATGTCCAACCCGGACTCGATACATTGAGATTGGCATGCCAAATGACTACACACGACGCCCTGAACCGTTTTCTTGCCTGTGTCTCCCGGACAAAGAAATGCCGGTGTATGTGCTGTAAGTGTCTCAGTTGTGTCTATGTCTTGCTTCGTAACTGAACTGGCTATACAAACTAAGCACAGTATTACAAGCAAATGAAACTTCTGAAGCAATTACAATGAACAAATAATCAAACTGTACAAATCTAACCACATATATATCAGTAAAAATAAATAGCCGAAACAGTTCTGTACTGGGTTATCATTATCAACATATTAACAGAACAGTGAAGAATAAATAATGTCTTCATTTCTACACCTCGGGCAAAAAGAAAGTCAACACTCACGTTTGATGGTAATTAAACATGAAGCGAAAAGGAAATGGTTATTTGATGGTGATCAATTTAACATGGAAGTCACAGTGGTATTTGTGGTCTGTCATGGCGTTTACATCTTGTTTGTGATTTTTGGTTATATATAATCCCATTTTCAAGTGTACACTGTCTTTTGCCCGGTAGTGTATGTCATGACAATGTAATGTCATGTAACCGAAACATTACATGGTGGTTAATCTTTGTCAATAATAACTAGATGAAACACTGGAGACTGGCGATCCTGAATGTAATCCGGTTAAGCGTTCTGTCGAATGATAGCCAAACATTGCCAACTCCAAATCCTAAATAAGTTTCATGTTACAAGTTATCTGCTCGAAACATGATATTTTTGGGTTGTTATTTAACGCCGAACTCAGCAATATTCCAGCTATATGGCGGCGGTCTCTAAATAATTAAGTCTGGACCAGACAATCCAATGATCAACAGGATGAGCATCGACGTACGCAGTTGGGGTACGATGACATGTGTCAACTAAGTAGCGAGTCTGGCAAGGAGACTACACTCCAAAGGAAAAACATATCCCACCGTCATAATGTTAAAAAATAATAATGTTATAATATGATGCGGCAGTAGAGTTTGTGTAAACGATGTTTGGTTACATGGCCTATATAATCAATAACAAATTTGTAGTTATATATACACACATCCTCCCTTTGTTCAGCCAATCAGATGAACTGAGCACTCCGACTGGAATAACAAATGCCATACCCGTTCCACTACAATTCACAGTTTGAGTAATACTTAAGAATCTGAAAATATGTCTTGTATTAAACAACAAACGCAGATACATTTAACAATAACATTTCCAACAACAAACCTGCCATTTATTTGCAAATCAGTTACTAACCTGATTTAATCACGCGTTTATATACCAGCAATAGGAATGAAAAACACATTTGATTTTAATGCAGATTTAACGGCAAGTTCATGTGATAAAATATTCATAACACAACATGCATCTCAATCTTATTAGGTATAATATTGTCCATAAAACTTTCATAATTCTTCAACAGATATACGTATTTTTAACTTCAAATTGATTTATGTTCCTTCGGTTATATGTAGATGTTTTCAGGAAGAAACATCAAAGCTATTAACAAAAACAATGTTTTCAAAAAACATCAAGATTGGGGGTCTGTACGACTGTTTACAGTTACAATTTACAAAGTCAATCTTTGCATGGTTCTCATACAAATTGACCAAAACAGCAGTGTGACTCAAAATAAAAGTATATACTTTCATAACTTACAGCAAATTCGACATCTTAAGGTACAGTTTTAGCGAAATAGTCTATGACAATATATGTAATAATATGATTGTTTTCGTAAATTTTCACCATATTTTCAAAAAAGACTTTAAGGTTTTATATATCTGAAGTGCGATCAAAGGACTTGGACGTACGTCTAGTTGTGTGCTTTAACTCGTAATAAGAACCATCTGAATTTATCTTCTACGTTCAACGTGTCCGGATATTGGAATTACATGATGAACATGTTTTCAGTGTTTGAGGATTGGTTTGTTTGTTGTTGTTTAACGCCGCACTCAGCAATATTCCAGCTATATGGCGATGGTCTGTAAATTATCGTGTTTGGACTAGACAATGCAGTGATCAAGAGAATAATCATCTATCTACCCACTTGGGATACGATGACATGTGCCAACCAAGACAGCGAACCTGATCCCGTTAGTCGCCTCTAGTTAGAGGCTTGCCGTGTTGGAATCGCAAACTCACAACATGAACGTGTCAGGATGAAAGAGAATTTGCAGGATACTGAAAACCGAAATGACATGTTCTCATTCTCGCATTGGCAATATAATCAGTGCAGACCGAAACGTTTCTCTTTGAAGAGTGTCAATCTTTATTGGCCTACAGCTTGAACCAATAATCTTTCTAAATATTTTCAGATTAAATGAAACTAAACAATGTAACTGTTTCATATTTTCAGTTTTAAAATTATGTTTAACTTTTTGTGTTCTTTTTGAAAGGTGGAATTACTTTGTTCTTCTTTAAAATATTTCCAGCCGTTTGTGTACGATTCCTTTCTACTCAATACACATGAAAAGGCTATTTCATCTGTAAAAGCCATGTTGTCATATTATACAGTCATAAAAATCATCACCGATATTCATGTAATCTCCTCAACGCCAACCGGTGAGTATTTGTGAAACCTTAAAAACATGCCTTCTCCAAATATTCACCGAATGCTTGAAACATTTTCTACAAAGTCTACCATTTAGACTACCGACAAGATTCCTGTGAATAAATATAGAGTTAACATAAACAAATAACAGATGGAGTTCTAAATGAGGTTATTTCTGTTGAAAAGGTGAGACAAACGTAACAAAGTAAACAGAGGTGTTAAAGAGCTTCCACATGAAGTCCTGAGTCGTCAGTTAAGATTGCATCGGTTCAAATCCATGGCATTGACAGGAACAGCAAGGTTGTCATGGCAACTGTTGAGAGGCTAGTGGTTCCACAGGCAGAAACAACAATTTCTGAAATGAAACAATAGTTAAGCATAAAATATCTTTCTCAGGCAAATGTGCGATGAAAATTGCATAAGGGATAATCGTAGTGAGTGAGTGAGTGAGTGAGAGAGTTGAGTTTTACGCCGCTTTTAGCAATATTCAAGCTATATCACGGCGGAGGACACTATTAATGGGCTTCACACATTGTACCCAAGTGTGGAATCGAACCCGGGCATTCGGCGAGATGAGCGAATACTGTAACCACTAGGCTACCACACCGCCCCGTTTAAAGACTGAGGGGTCACAAGGACATGGTATAGGCATGTCTCGCAATACAGTTAGCATTCTCCAAATTCAAAATTTGCAAAAAAACACGTCTGTGTTTGTTTGTTGCCTTAAAGGGCAATAATATATCGTTGCCACGCTGTCATGACATGCCACCCTAGCAACCGATGGACCATACAAAATAAGTCAACAATTACCAGAACACTTTTCTCCTTCTTTTTCGTAACCTTCAACGCAGGCGCATTCTCCGGTAACCTCACCCCAGGTTCCGTCTGGTTTGCATACAGATTGTATCTCGGGCGTGGCGGCTTCAGCGTTATCAATACACTCTCCATTGACCACCCTGTCAGACGTCATCGTCGACGTCTCCGGAAACGTCATCATTGACGTCGTGACGGCTTCACAGAATATCACAGAAACTTTCAGGGATATGATTTTCGAGCACGATCCTTCATCCTTGAAGCCGAATGAAATCTTGTTGCCTGTGTTTCTCAAGGGGATCGCCATTGACAGTTCGTTCACCTCGACGACGCTTGTAACGTCAGATATGGGAGCGGAGGTGTTGATGTACTTGAGGTGGTCCCAGTTGCTGTAGATGGGAATAGGCACGTCGGTTGTGGACTGGTAGCTGTACATGTCAATATGACATACTGGGACGTCTTCACCGAGACACTCGCGGATGCTGTATTTTAGCTTTAGGTAAACAGTGTCACTACCATTGGTGGGTATAGGAGGGGTGATCACCCAGTCCTTTACCTTGGCGTCACGTTTGGAGCACACGGAGTATACTTTATGCAGACGTTTGTTTGTTTTCTGCGTTACCTCCGTCCACTGTAACAGTCAAATGCAATATGAAAGGCATGGTTTGTTTGTTTTTGCATGAGATTTTTTAATGGCATTTAGAGGTGAGGTGAAATTGGGTTTAACGTCGTGCTTGAGAATATTTCGCTCATATGACGACGTGCATGCGTGTGTATGTGTATGTGCGGCTGCTTGTACTAGCCCAGACTTAAGCTGGTTTTATAGTGCTAGACCACTGAGATACCATGCCGCAGTGAAGCATGAATACCCCACTCAGACACATTATACTGACTCCGAGCCGACCAATCCTTGTTGTACCCATTAATGCCGAGCGCCAGGCAGGGACCAACAAGTACCATATGTTAACGTCTTTTGGTATGACGCGGTCCGGAATCGAACCCGCGACCTTCCGCTCTCCGGACGGACGCTCTAACCACTACACCACGGAGGCGGTCGAATGACATTTAGAAGTGATGCACATCAGGAAGAGAGTTTTTATGGATGTCAAACGTTTCGGAGTACATCCTTTCTCCTTCAGCAGATAAATGTTTTTGCTTTGATTAATATTCCAGCTATATGGCGGAGGTCTGTGAATAATCGAGTCTGGACCAGACAATCCAGTGATCAACAGCATGAGCATCGATCTGCACACTCAGCAATATAGCTGGAATATTGCTGAGAGCGGCGTTAAACAACAAACCAACCAACAAATCTAAACACTAATTTTGTTTCATCAGAAAGTTGAAGTGAGTTCTTAGTGAGTGAGTGAGTGAATTCTTAGACGCATACAACTTTCTTGAAACACTCCATATACGAGTTGTGACCGAACAGACCAAACTATATTGCTGAGTACAGCGTTTATCAACAACCAGCCAACCAATCAGAATGCAACGTACGGAACTGCTTGAGTACTGCCAATATCAATATGGCCGTCGGGACGGATATTAAAAATCCGATCGGTTTCTGTTAGACACTGAAGCTATGATACAATTTGTATTCTATGGTTTCCGAGGAAATATTGATAATATTTTACAGATCAATAATAAAAAGACATTAATTGTCCCTATGCTGTAGCTTACCTCACTTCTGCCGCTGGTGGTAAACTTGTCCCAGCCTAACTTATCCAAAGCCTGCATGTCGAATATCACATCTGTAAAGCAGAAAGCACTGGTGTAAACAAAACCAAAGAGTGTTTGCTTTCCGTTTTGGTTAATTTGGTCCAGTTTGTTCAACGTGTTGCCTGGTTTGATCTTCCATCCATATTAAATGGAAAAGCGTCTATCTCAGCCTATAATACATTAAAAGGTAGTACTTGTTGTTTTCTTTTGCCTTGAGCTTGTAGTGGGGAGTTTAAGGCCAGGAGTTTGTCAAATTTGTGCACGTTGGTTAAAAGCACTTGGCCCTATGATACATCGAACAATTCCAACCATTTCTGGATATAGATCCACCGCAGCAGTGCCCCCTGGCTGCAAAAAATAAGCTTTTGCCTTAACAGCACCACTATAGGTTTTAAAGCTTTACAAATCACCCTCGCGCATACTTGTCCATTTTGATAATCTTGGACTTACTGTTAAGAACGACTTCACCTCACCCAAACACACATCAGCTTCCCCGTCCATATTAAGATAGACGAGCAATAATCTGAATAATCTGTGTAACGCATGACAAAACAGTTATGTCACTGAAGGACGAGACAGTGTTACACAGGCCTGTATAACATGGAATCTGAACAGGTACAGGGTGTTGGGTCCTACGCCACTTTCAGCAATATTCCAGCAATATCACGGCGGGGGACATCAAAAATGGGCTTTCACACATTGTACCCATGAGGAGAATCGAACCCGGGTCCTCGGTGTGACGAGCGTACGCTGTAACCATATCCTCTGTGACATATACTCAGTACAAAGGATTGATATTTATCATCCAAAACTGTGTTCCACATGAGATATTGCTTGTGTGAGATCTTAGGAGATATCGCTTTGACAGTAGATTTTGTACTATGCCCTGACAATGCTATGACGTCATGAACTTGAGGACGTCTGAATGCTATGACATCGCTGCACTGCAAGTCTAATGGCAGTACCGCGTTCAGAGATGTACATTTTTCAGTGAAAACCAATGAAGAGTGATTTTTATGATAAATAGAATGTCACCCTCGTGTCTTCTGATATCAAATATATCAACACTTGTTGATAAAAGTATAATATCTTCGGCAGGCCTCGGGTATGTATAACTTTATCAACTCGTGGTGATATATTTGATATCAAAAGACACTCGTGTGAGATTCTATATATGTTGCGTAGTGGATGGGATTATAATGAAAAACAAAACAATCGGGTCAAATGGTCTTCAAACTGATTCTGTAGAAATCATAAGGACCTGGAATTGAAAACGATTTTTGTCACAGTGATTGATATTCGACGGCAAGGAAACGGTTTGCGATTGAGAGATTAACAGAGGAAACAGCAGCTTCATCCTATGAATAAGGAAAACCAAAACATACAAGGGACCTTATTTAAATCGGGTCCCAAAGGGTAGAGATCTGACTGAAATATGGAAAGTCTGGGAAGAAAATATAACTCTCTCACTTCACAGTAAACACAAATATCAGCTCTTGGACATTAATGGGTTCAATATTGATATAATTTAAGACACGATTTGGGATAGGAGTCACTATGACTGAGGAAAATAAACTGACGTACAAAAGAAAGTATACACCTGGTGTTTTGGGATTATTTGAAAAGTGTTGTGAATTTAACTGGCAACTTCGCAATTGGGCACGATATCTGTGGTGTTTTGGTAACATATTAGGAAAGTCTGTGACTTGTATATCACTGTAAAAACTCTTTTCCAAATATTTACGTTGCTCTTTGGAAAGTAATCCAAAAGCACCAGGTGTGTACTGTTTTTTGTACGTCAGTTTATTTCCTCACCAGGCCGTTTTTGCCCATATTAATGTTGGTTCTATATTTTCTAACATCTGTATTATTTATTACTTGATGACCGAACCAGTGAAGATTTGGGTTAGAATTGGTCTTCACCAACCCATGCCTACATCTACTGACGGTATCGGGTGAACAGGCTCGTTGGCTTGGTTGATGCAAGTCAGCCTTTCCCATTTGCGTAGCTCGATGCTTAGGATGGCGATCACTGTATTATCTGGTCCGATCTCGATTATTTACAGACCGCCGTATTGTAGCTGGAATGTCCTTGAGTGTGGCGTTGAACAACCGACTAAAGTTCATAATATGGATACTCCGTGGTTTGTGTCAACACATGATCTCCGTCGGTGTCTGCTGGTCGAATATAGAAACATACCCGTGAAGGTCCGGGCTAGAATGAACCTTCAGTAACCCATGCTTGTCGTAAGAGGCGACCAACGGGTTCGGGTGGTCAGGCTCGCTGGCTTGGTTGACACATGTCATCGGTTCCCAATTGCGATACGCTATGCTCATGCTGTTGATCACTGGATTGTCTGGCCCAGACTCGATTATTTACAGACCGCTGCCATATAGTTGGAATATTGCTGAGTGTGGCGTAAAACTAAACTCACTCACTCACTCACCCTTAGAATTGTAACACTGAGCTAATAAAAAACCGTTAGCATGACTATGGTGCTGAAATGTATATAGATCCATGACCATGATATCACATGCTAATATTCTGACCATGATATCACATGATCTTTTACTGACACGACTGAGAGAGAGAGAGTTGAGTTTGAATGTCTCTTTGAACAGTATCGACTTCTGCAGTGTTTGCCAGGTTGTCACATGGGTGGAGGAGGGTGAGGTGGTGGATACAGGCGACATCTAACATGACAGTAGGGCCAGTAGGTATGTCACGGCACTTCGCGAGACCTTAGTACTTTCAGCGACGAACAACGTTCCACATCTTTTCGAATTGTCTCATGGGTTGTCAGTTGACAGTAAAGTACAATACTTGCAGGAATAACAAATTTCCGATCTAACCATCGCAAAATTAGCTAACTATTACGGTTGTCAGCAGCTGTGACAGCCAAGCATTGTTGTACACTTGATCCGGTCTAGTAAAGTCATGTTTGGCGGTCGCGCAATTTGGAACCAGAACTGGTTCTTGAATATACATCTGGTAGAGGAAGTAAGCTCGCATATCACAAGCTGACGCGCGCAAAAAGAGCCGTGAACCAACTTAGTACCAGACGTAGCGCCTCGCGAGACTTACGTGCCTCACACGAGCCCACAATCAACGGATCTTCACAGCTGTGCGACACAGCTTGCATTTTGCAAATGTCAAATATCTATACGTGGACCATGCGTATCTGCTGATCATATTTTTCAATTTGTTGTTTACGGAATGCGAAATCATATGCATTGAACATGAGCGTGGAAGTTCTTTTTTTCTTTTGATAAATGATGCATTGAAATTCCCTTTAATGTTTCGAGCGCTAAACGTGATTTCATGTACCATTGCCGTTTCGTCTAAAAGATTAACATGGGGTTGTCTATATATAAAGCGAAAATGCAGAAAATACTAGCCTTCTATTCGAAACCGCCATCTAGTGCAATCAACCTGCCTACTTCCATAATGAAACTAACAATGATGGATGAGGTATAATCGAAGCTAATGATGTGTGCAGGATCTTTTACTTAAAATCGACATCCTCTGACATTTACCACAGAAAATGGAGTATTAGATAGATATCGATAGTTCCACGGTTAGACATGATAACGTCCGTTTCTAAACAGTTCTGTCGAGATATATAAAAGTTATTGCAATTACCATTATTCTGCTTTCTGTATCCATATACATATTCCAGATTCTGAACGCTTTCTTCTGCGTTTATGTCACCATTAAATTGTTCCAGAGATCTCCATTACATGGATGCTGTAATAAATGGTATTTATTCCGTGGATTTTTTTATTTCGGTCCATGAAGTCTCTACCACTAACGTCATCGGCGTGGTATTTATGTAATTCTTGCGTCTGTGGCGCTGTGGGACAGCAGACATGAAAGATTCATCCGATACAAGATGTTGCACTGAACGGTCAATCATTGGCGCCATCATGGTAAAAATGTCTTGAGTGAAAAAAACAACACGTTTCTGAAACCGACACTGTCTGTGATAAAAGGCGCCGGATTCGCTCAGTTTCTGACAAGGATTCAGGGTTCAAGATCTAGTGGGGATTTCGTTCCATCCTTTGCAGACAGTTCTGACAGTGTCAATAATTTGGATTGGATATATCGATCCTGAACATCTACATTGGCGCGGCCTAATTGGCTTATGCCAAACACTTAAAATTGGCTCTGTAACTGAACGTTACGGGACGTAGTTTGGCGATTTTACTAAAGAGCAGCTGCCCTGAATCTTCGTTGCGGTTAAATTGGTCGTGAACTGCATCAAATATGTTTTTTCATGGAAATCGGTCCTGGTCGTTCGCAGTGAAGTGAGTGAGTTTAGTTTTACGCCGCTTTTAGCAACTTTCCAGCAATATCGCTGCGGGGGACACCAGACATGGGCATCACACATTTTACCCATGTGCGGAATCGAACCCGGATCTTCCGAGTGGCGAGCGAACGCTTTGATCACGAGGCGGTCTGTAAATAATGAAGTCGGAACCAGACACTCCAGTCATCAACAACATGAGCACCGATTTACGCAAATGGGATACGATGACTTGTGTCAACTAAATCAGCCGACCTGACCATCCGGTCCTGTTAGTCGCCTCTCTCGACAAGCACAGGTTGCTGAAGACCAATTCTAACCCGAATCTTCATGGGTCTTAGAATAAAGAGAGGAAGTGTTTCTTGAAAGTGGTAAACGTCTGACGCCAATTCCACTTCGGAGTTACTTCCAACACCCTGCAGCCTCTTCAAACCCGGGGAACGGATGAACATATTTCACTCAGTGAATAATGGTCTTAGACAAATGTGGCAAAGTCCCAGAAAAATATCCATCTGCCCCAGACATGGCATCACGTCTCACTGGAACCGAGACGGTCAATGTGGGAAATGGCCACCTATGAAAATGTCACATATTTGGCAAAAACACTGGTTTGGCATCGGCTGTTACATTTAGCACCATGTCAACTATTTCAGTACGGGGAATAACACTGATGCATTATTGATGTTAATGGGCACATTGTCCCAGCTTCCAGTCACGGACTGATT